TGACCTGCAAGAAATTTGACTTTCTTTCACAACTTTATTTAGTTAAGTAATTCTTTGATCCTGTTTAGTAAAGCAGTTTTTAGTTAAATGAATTGAACTGAGCCTGTGAACTTCTAATCCTCAGATTAGTTTGGATTTCAGCGGTGAGTTAAGTATTCAGTGATGGTTTAATTTCTGTGGCCTATAAACACTGGTTTCAAACAACCCATGTAGATTATATGTGAATGCAGTTGTTCACACACTTTTCCTGCCGTGCCCCACTACCCCACCACTTTATCATTCATTACCAGTCACTGATTGAGTTTTAGTTACAAATGAAATCACACTCCTTCCCACAGAGTTTCACTCTATATTGAGAACTACTACCCTTGTATGTGAAGGAGGTTTCAATTCAACTAAAACTAAATTTCCCCTTCCCAGTTGGTTGCTGTCCCCCTAAAGTCAGCTTGGGTGATGAGCGTCGCTTTCGCCCCCTCTGGTAACCTGGTGGCCAGCGGTGGTCTGGATAACATGTGCACAGTGTACAACATAAAGTCTGCCAGCCCCAAGACCCTCAGGGAGCTGGACGCGCACACAGGTGAGGAGCCCTTCTGCCTTCTTAAATGGCTGAAAATGTCCTCAGGGAAACATTAAAATAAAGTTTAAGTTAGAGAAATGAACTGATGTCTGGTCAGAATGAAATACTGACAATACTATTCTCTCTGTCCCACCCAGGTTACCTGTCTTGCTGCCGTTTCCTTAGCGACACTGAGATCCTGACAGCATCCGGTGACACCACCTGGTGAGTTAGTCATTGATCATTTTGCCTTCAGCTACAATAGCAAAATGGACTGTAAAATATCATGTGTATAGAGGAAAAGGCAACCTTATTTTCAATCCAAAGCATTCAAATCCAAAGTGTGATTCCCAACTGCTACAGGACACATATTTGCTCTGTGAATCATCTGTCCTTTGTCCTCCTTTGAGAATAAATCACAAATCAAAAGAGAGACATTTATATTTTATATGGTTAAAAACATAAATGCAACTTTTGAAGACAAATTCTAATTTCAAATGACTAAAAATTCACTTCACTTGAAAATATGATCAATGTTTTATCACTTTGGTCCATTAGCACAAACAGTTAGCCTAGCTTTATCCAAGGTGCCTTCCGACAGCACCAAATTTTCCTTTTTGAATATGAAACAGGCGCGTGTTAACTACTTATGCAAATTAGCTTTTATTATTGACCTGCAACTGTCTCCCAGAAGAGCTCTGATAAGGATTGGTGGCTAGCTAACAAGGTACAGCAAACAGTACATCTGCTAAACACAGATGAAACTGACTGATCTTCTTATTTCATTAACAGTTAATTTAATTGTGAATATTGCTAATGCTTTTAATACATTTTAATTATTTTAGTGGTCATTTAAAAAGCATTAAACACAAAGTCATACACCTTTTTCTAAAAAGGTGATACCACTCAGCAACAATAGTTCTCAGATCCAAAATGACTTGACCTTTGAATAAACATCTTCAAAAGATTAAATTGAAACTACTGTCTGGAGTTTTATGCAGAAGTTTTAGGATCAGATATCAAATGGACTCTGTAAAGTGGACACACCCGATCCAAACAGGCCCAAGGATAATTAGACCCGATCCAAAATGCGGCAAATCATTATTTCTTTTCCTTGCACGCCCTCATCTATTAATAACACCCTATCCTCCCTCTCCTCTGCAGCTGTCTGTGGGACCTGGAGACTGGCAAGCAGAAGATCATCTTCACCAACCACATTGGCGACTGCATGTCCCTGGCTCTCTCCTCTGACCAGAACACCTTCATCTCTGGAGCCTGTGACTCTCTGGCCAAGCTGTGGGACCTGAGGGAAGGGACGTGCAAGCAGACCTTCTCCGGACACACCAGCGACATCAACGCCATCTCTGTGAGGAGAATCACATCACACACACCAGAGATATTACCTTTTTACCTGTCGAGTTTTATGTGATTTCTAGAAATATAAGCACATCATTTACATTTAGAGTTTTTATCATTGCTCCTATGGCTGTTAAATAAATGTTTGTATTTGGTTTTGGATGAGCAGGCAGTTGGGATGACTTACTGTCTTAAATACTAAGATCCAGTGCCTGTAAGTGACCAGTTTTTGACAGGTAACACTAGTATGGAATTACCAGCAATTCATTTTTATTAGCTCAAAAAAGGGATTTTTCCTAAAAATTTACCGATTTTCCAGGCATTTAGCTAGTCATATTTTTATTTAGATTTTGATTTGATTTGTTTTGAAAGGCAATGGCTATAAATTTTAAGCAGACATTTTTTAAAATGTTAAGGAAAAGGCAGTCAGTTTAAACCCCTGACAGACCAGGTAGGGTGAGTTACCACAATTACCACATTTGCAGGTGTGTGCAAACAGAGCTTGACTGTTAAAAATGAAAAAACTTGTATTGTATGTATCTTCCTCCTGTACACATTCCAATTCAATCTTCACCACATACATATAAACACAAACTGTCCTTTTTTTCTCCCCACCTCAGTTCTTCCCCAATGGAAAAGCCATCATCACAGGCTCCGACGACTGCAGCTGCAAGATGTACGACCTGCGCTCCGACCAGGAGGTGATCGGCTACCAGGACACCAGCCTGAACGCCGGTGTCACGTCTCTGGCCCTCTCCAACTCAGGGCGCCTTATCTTTGCTGGCTATGACGACTTCAACTGCCACATCTGGGACTCACTGAAGGGAGAGAAAGTTGGTGAGTGGGGTTTATGTATTCAGCATTTGAAGACTTAAAAAGTCTTGATGGTTGTACATTTTCACATGTCATAGCAGGAAACTTACAGGTGTATTAGTGATAGCTCCATCCCACTTACTGTCCAGCTGGTTCACTGTCATTGTAACTGGGAAACTTAATGGAATTGAACCATCATAAATGCCCACCTGTGTTTTTCCGGCTTTAACAAGGCAAAAGTTCTGCCGTGCAACCGGTCCATTAAAGTCTGTTAAGTCTTGTGTAGCAAAAGAGTCACCAGTTACAAATCTATTTTCAGAGTGATAAATGTTGTGTAAAGGTTGTGTGCAGGTTAACATTAAAGAATATGGAATTGAGACAAAGAAAACACCAAATCCTACACACTGGTCCTTTAAATACACCAGAAAACACCCAATTAGTAATAAATCTGACAGGATTATATGAAACTTCCTTCCTTTTCCATAACCTCTCCTCCTGTCTCTCTCTCTCTTTCCCTCTCTCCTCTCCTCCTCCAGGTGTGCTGTCCGGCCACGACAACAGGGTGAGCTGCACCGGCGTCCCCGATGATGGCATGGGTGTCTGCACAGGATCCTGGGACAGCTTCCTCAAACTGTGGAACTGAGGTACCCTGGCGGAGGAAAACACCAGGAGAGGGAGAGCAGGAGGAGGTGGAGAGGAAGAGGAGGAAAGGGGGAGGAAAAGGGTAAAGATAGGGAGGAGAATAGTAGAGGAAAAGGGAGACCAGTGAGGTTGGAGGATGTTGGAGCCAGATCTTCCTCTCTTTCTCTCTCCCTCTCTGCTTCTTCCTCATTCACGTATGCAAAATATGAGCGGTTGCGAATGAGTCAGGTTGTATAAGTGGCATCAGGTAAACAGTGCACGATGCTTCCCGCTGCACGTACAAGAGAGTTTTATTGTTGTCGAGACGATTTAAATGCTGAAAAATTAAAAACATAGCACATTATTCAAAATGATTACCGAGCGTAAAATAAGCTCTTAATGTCAATTAAACACATATAGATTTTTGACAATAAAGAAAAAGAAAGAACACGTGAATATTGAAAATAAGACTGTAGGCTTACAGATTTATTTTTATTGTATGTGACCTGTAAAAGAGCCCTGCACTTATTTAGATGAAAGATTATGTAAATTTATTTGTATTTTATAGTTTAACACATTAGGACGGAGAGTTGATGTACAGTGTCTATTTTTTTTTTTTTTTTCGAGCTGCACATATGCAGAGTATATGTGTACGGTAGAGCTGCCATCTTGGGTCCCCTGCTTACAACCAGCGTACTTTGATCCAAGATGGCTGCTGCCGTTTCCCCCGTCTCACCTATGATGTACCCAGACGCGTGAAGGTTTAAAGATGGAGCCAGGCTGGCGATGCTGCGAGACTGGCTGCCGGGTGGCGGTCTGAGCTGTGAAACACTCTGTACCTGTAAAGTTTATTTTACTCCCCTGGGTTCAGCTGCATTTTGTAGTACTTTTACACTTGTGCAGTTCCTCTGTAAAAAGACGAAGTGTTTGTTGAAAATCTTTCTAATAAACATAGAATTCTGCATTAACACCATGTCTGAGTCTGTGTGTTGTGATCTTGAATATGATATGGAAGAACTTGCACTTGGAATAAATAACTTTCTCCACGTACATGTAGAAAACAATTGGCCTCTGCAGTCTTGAGCTCTGAAGGACAAATGAGTCTGGAGGGAAGTTTGTCAGCACACAACAGCAGCATGACTCACACCTGCACAGCACGGAGGACATACAAATGATGGTGGGAAAGTGGGGATGGATACTGAACTGATTGTTTCCATTCTGAGAGATGGACACCAAAACTTGATGTGTACAGTTTATCATTTAGATGTCAGAATAGTTGCAACATGATGTCCGCTGGAATAAAAGAAATACATCACAAAACATGGACAGAAATTCAGCATCATTCTGGGATTTAGCGTTAACATTTGGGGAGCATTTGTAGAATATTATGTGTTAAATCCTTACCACTGTCACCAAGTGCTTGCTCATGGTAGGAATTGTTGCGTCTCTGTAAAAAAAGTTGCCCTGAAAATTGTCCTGAGATCATTTCTGTTATGATTTGGCGCGATACAAATCAAATCAAATTTTATCAAAAATAAATATATACACATAAACTATTTTAGAGACTTTTTGGTGTCTGGACAAACTTTTCTTTGAGGGAGAAGAAAACTACCCCAGTCTCTCTAAAGTCCTGTGGTCCTGTTACATGGAAATAATGGACTTAATAGAGGGGAATAATGCTCTGTTATCATTATTATGCTTAAATCCACTGGTTACATGACATAAAGCATCACTATTGTTGCTATGGTTACCTGCTCCAGCTTTAAACTGTTGACCTGAACTCTGGTTAAAGTGTACTGATAGAACATTTGAAGGAAACCTGCCAGCCAATCAGAAACAAGTATTTCCCATACTCAAGTGTGGAGAGTTTCTAAGACAAGGGTTGATTTTTTAAATTCACTTTACTTTACATCAACATAATCATATATCTAAACATCAAGCAGATAAAGGCAGGTTTTAGTGTAAAAGTGCGCTCTAGTGTATCTGAATCAGTGAATCAATCAATGTCAACATCATATTTAATCAAAAGATTATCAATGATTTATTCAGAACTGTCTTTAACAGGCCCAAAATAAACTAAACCTGTGAAGATTATTATAATTTTTTTGTTGATGTTTAAAGTAATAAGCATTGCATAATAATAAAATAATAATAATAGTAATAATAAAGGGATCAGTTAAGTTTATTGTTCATAAAGTGTCATGTTTTCTATGCATAATCATGCAGGATAACTACAGTATTACATCATGTAAATTAAAGCACCTTCTGGCCAATCAGCTCGTCACCTTCCCCGAAGACATGACGGCGCTCAGAGTGTCCCAGGATCACCCAGTCCACCCCGCAGTCCTTTACCATGGCCGGACTGGACGGAGAGGAAAAAAATGATAAAACAAATGATACATTTTAAGGTTAATTTATTGTCATTTTGCAAGACGTTTGTACAATGGCATAAACGTTTTATACAATATATACAAATATTTAAATGATAAATAAAATAAAAATAAGATAAAACAATATATAGTTACTTATATAGATATAAACCAACATGTAATATAATGTATTTACATTATTTTTGTGAGGATTTCCTTTAAAGCCAAAACATTTGATTCTGTTCAGCGACAAAAAGTCATTTGACCATCCATCAGCCTACAGTCTAATTAACAAATAATTAGTGCAATCACTCATTAAAGCCTTCAGAAATAAGGTGAAATGCATCAAGTATAAAAGGAAAGAACTGTGAGTCCATTTCACCAGCAGGTGGCGCTAATGAACCATAAAGCTGTTTGACTCTGTATGAACCCAGATGAGCAGAAGAAGAGGGACCTTTCGCCGGTGTCGACTCTGATATTTCCGACAGCCCCTGACGTACACACCGTCCGGAGTCATCCTGCGGCTGAGCTGACCCTCCGGACCCCCCAACACCTGCTCTCCTCACCGGGAACCCGCCACCTGCAGCCGGCCATGGCGCTCCGGAGGTTCTTCGTGGGAGGAAACTGGAAGATGAACGGGAACAAGGAGAGTCTGGAAGAGCTGATCACCACCCTGAACACCGCCAGCCTGCACGACGAGACCGGTAACCGAGCCACCAGCCGCGGATCGATACATGTGATCGATTGAGAGTCAGACAGAGAGGAGATGACACCCTGACATTGGGAGTCATGTGATCAGGATGGGTTGCATAAAGGCCTCTGACGTTATCTTATCCCCAGTGGTATAGTAACGAAGTACATTTACTCGAGTACTGTAAGTGCGACATTACTAATTATTATACACAATTATGAATTCTTTAATTTACCAAATGTCAGAAGGACGTCACAACGTCTCAGAGGCCACGGTGACGTCAGATGTGAAAACCTAAAGATGATGAATTAATAATCAAATCCTCGTGTTTGGGAAGATGCAACCAGATCATGTTGATGAATGACTGTAATCAGTAACTTAATTTAAGTGGTTTAAAATGAACCCAGCTGTTCCAGTTGTTCACAGAGAGGCAGACTGCAGCTGTTAGAAAAAAAACCTGAAAATAAATCTAACCCAATTAAATCTGATTAAATTAACCTTTTTAGTCCAAAGGCACATTTATGTATGACTTCCACCCCGCTGCCTCTCACAGTGTCCTATAAACTTCAAATGCAGGACGGATGACACTTAAAGAAATGTAGAATTTAGGGAGAAATCCAGTTAGGAAACATGTTTTTTTTATATTTTAAAGGGTTGGATCGCCCAGAAGAGGACTGCTGATGGGGCAGTGATGCAAACAAATAAAAAATGATTCAATTAAAGTCACGGTCAACTAAAAAAAACAATAACTCTTCCCTGATTTTCAGAGGTGGTGTGTGCTGCTCCCTCCATCTACCTGGACTTTGCTCGGTCTAGTCTGGATCCCAGGATCGGTGTCGCAGCCCAGAACTGCTACAAGGTGGCCAAGGGAGCGTTTACAGGGGAGATCAGGTATCTCACCCACTGAGTGAATACACTAATTATTTATTAATTAGACTGTAGGCTGATGGATGGTCAAATAACTTTTTGTCACTGAACAGAATCAAATGTTGTGGCTTTAAAAGAAATTATTAATATTACATATTGGTATATATCTATATAAGTAACTGTATATTGTTTTGTCTTATTTTTATTCAATTTTTATCTATTATCATTCAAATTTTTGTATATATTGTATAAAACTTGTATTTCATTGTACAAACGTGTTGCCAAATGACCATAAATTAACCTTAAAATTTATCATTCAAAATATGTAAAATACAAATATGATGCAAATATAATATTAAATTTGATTTGGTGCTTCACAAAACGCATCTGCAGCTGATCTCCTGTGTCTTTAACATTTTCCTCTCCGTCCAGTCCGGCCATGATAAAGGACTGCGGGGTGGACTGGGTGATCCTGGGACACTCTGAGCGCCGTCATGTCTTTGGGGAAGGTGACGAGCTGATTGGCCAGAAGGTGAGACGCTTTCTATAGAAATTTGAGTCGGTCCAGTTTAGCCTGTTCTTTTAAGTGTCATAAAACCTGCATTATTTCTAACAGCCAGCAGAGGGCGACTTCACTGGCTGCAAAAAGAAGTGAGATTGTTGATTTATTATCTCAGTTTCTTAATGAGTTTATTGTCTCATTCACTCGTTTCAAGCCTCCTTCCATACAGCACGATGTTCATTTAGTAAGTTCTGGTCCCATTTACTTGTTTTAAAATAGACGATAAAGCTTTAGGGCGTGGCTACCTTGTGACGACAAATCACAACCATGTCCTCGGTTCTCAGTCTGAGCCAATCAGGACAGAGGCGTAGCAATGTGGCCAAAATGCCAGACTCCTTCAAAACGGTAGTCCACAAACCACTGGGTCACGTCATGCTGGCTACATCCGCTAATGTTATATATCTGTGGTCGGTCTACAAGTGAACGCACTGATGTTGCATTGACAACAACTAATAAACAGCCCCTTTATTGTTTGGAGGAGTCAAACAGCAGGTATTCCTCTTCAAACACTACAGCAGTGTTGTGCAGATCTATAGATGCTGTGTGAGCTGTGTGTGTCAGGTGTGCAGACGCAGGTAAAGATTTGAGTCTGCTTGGTCCTCAGGTGGCTCACGCTCTGGAGAGTGACCTGGGTGTGATCGCCTGCATCGGGGAGAAGCTGGAGGAGCGGGAGGCGGGCACCACAGAAGAAGTGGTCTACGCTCAGACGCAGGTCATTGCAGGTGAACAAAGGAAGAGCTTTTATTTAAATTTGATATATTCTCTGTTCTCTTGCTACCTTTTCTTTTATGTTTATTATGTTTGTGTTTTTCACAGGGGTTACTGTACACTGATGATAGTTTTAAAACCAGAACACATCAGTATTTTTCTCACTTCTTTAATTAAAACCTAAAAATAAAAACATCAACAATAATCTCCAGTTCTTCAGCCCTGAGGTATCTGCCAGTAGAGCTACCGGTTTGTAGACGAGCCCGCAGTCAGATATTACAAGTTTTTTGATGATTTTTGTAGCTGCTGTACTCAAAGTAGGCTACACGCTGATTTAAAATGCAAGTAGGTCAGTGGTCTCTGCGGGTGGAGAAATTTCTTGAGACATGGTCGTCTTGTTCCTCTGTGAATGAAACATTTTCTCTAAAACAAGTAAGAGAATTGATGGACCTGAAGGCAGCGCGGCCCTGCCTTTAGGAGGGGAGAGGACTGAAAAAGACTCATCGTATTCAGCTGCTTTGTAGTGTTTTACACACATAGACCCGAAATACAATCACACACAGACATTATGTTAAATGTTAGGAAATATATAGAAACATATAGGACTTTAAATATTGGTTTATAAAGAGTTTAGCTGTCTGATGGAGGGGTGTTGTTGTGTTCCAGAGAATGTGAAGGACTGGGGGAAAGTGGTGCTGGCATATGAACCTGTGTGGGCCATCGGCACAGGCAAGACAGCTTCACCTGAACAGGTAAGTCCTTCCTCTGTTCACTGCAGTGAGTTCAGTCAGGCAGCCAAACAGCAGCAAGATTTACCACGAATGACACTGATCTGGTAATGACTCACCGTTTCATTACTCGGATTGTTTTTATTATTAACCATTTATTGTTTATTATTTATAACAACAGAATAATCTTATAGTGTGTTTTCTGTGTCAGTGGGTGTGTTCAGTGTTTCTGCCTTCATATTACCAGTGAGCTCTGACTCCTGCAGATCCAGTTTCTCCAGTATATTCTCAGCTGGCTGCCAGTATTTTGTCCACAGTATACTCACACCTGCAGGCTGCACATTCAGCTATTGTCAGCTATCTCCTCAGCATCTCCAAATGTGGTTATTTTTACTTCAAGCTAAAGATTTTGCTCCTTATGAACACAGAAAAACATTTCAACACAAATGTTTTGTCACATTTTGGAGATAAAAGCAACCAATATAAAACCAATAAAGAAAAAAAACATTTATTTGAAGGTTTAAGCATTTTAAAGGTTTGTTTGTTGTGGTCATACAGGAATGAAACACTGTGTGTGTGTGTGTG